TCGTCCTGGGGAGGGTGGGCACCTTGGGTGCCAGTCTGGCATGACGGTGACTCTAACGGGAACACGGCTGGCCGGGATCTGGGTCACCCCAAAAGGCCTGCACACCCCGCCCGTGGCCCCACGCAGTAACCGGAGCTGTCTGGGCCTCTGGAGGAACATCCCGATCCCGCGCTCCTGGAGGAGACAACTGCTGCCCGGCTGCAAGGCACGTGTGCTGTGCAAGCCCGCCGCCCGCCGGGGGCACTGCCTGTGGCAGAGGCAGGGGGCCGTGTCTCCCCGCCCTGCCAGGCCTCAGGTACCTGGGCTGTACGCAGAGGGACGGGCAGCCTCTCGCAACGTGCCCCCCAGGGCCCTGGCTGCCCGGCTCAGCCCGGAGGGCAGGGCTCTTCCCCAGGTAGGAGCAGCCCTGCAAACCTGGTTTTCCCGAGTCCTGCCTCCAGGAGAGCAGGCCCGAGGCAGCCCATGCCTACGCCACCACCACGCCCACCGCTGGCCCAGCACCCGTGGGCATCATCCACGTGACCAGCGAATATCCTGTGGGGCGACGGAGGCTCAGAGAGCTGAGGGACTTGTGGGAGCAAACCCGCCCCGGCGTCCACACCATGCCTGTGCCAGGCGCTCGCCTGTACTGAGGCGCGGAAGACCCCGACTTCCCACCAGGCCGAGGTCAGGCCTTGCTCACAGGAACCGCAGGCTGCTGGAGGCAAGCTAGGGCGTCTCCACAACCCCCGCTGCAATCGCCCAGCCAGGCCCAGAGGGACAGGGGAGGACGCCGAGGGTCCAGCATCAGGCGCTGACCCCAGCCCTGGCAGGGCGGCAACTTCCCCTCAGCCCATCTCTGCCCTGGCGGAGCTGTGCGGCCTCTGCCGGGGAACCGACCTTCTCTGGATCTCAGTTTCCCCTTTGTGACCTGGCAGAAGAGGGTGTGTGAGGAGAAGACAGGACCAGAGAGGCACAGCTTGAGCAACACCTCCTCTGGGAGGCCTGGGTCCCCCGACAGGGCACGCAGGGGGCCCTGGGGTCACCAGACACCCTCCCGGGACCTTGGAGCACCGCGCGAGCCCTTCCCAGGCCGCTCCCCACCTCCAGAGGCCGGGGTCACAGGCCACATCCGCCTCCCAGGGCTGCCCTGAAAATGACCACTCAGCAGGTGGCTTCAGACAACAGCAATTTATTCTCTGGGCTCCAGAGGCCGGAAGTGTGTGACAGCAAGGGCGACAGCGGGGCAGGGCCGGGCTCCGCCCACGGCTCCGGATCCTCCCCGCCTCCCTCACTTCTGGTGGCCCCAGGCTCCCCGGCTTGTGGCAACATCGTTCCCATCTCCGACTTCACCGGGTCTCCTGTCTCCACTTGTCCTTCCTAGGGGTACAGACCATGGGACTCGGGCAGGGCCCACGGGCACGGGCGGGCTCCTCTCCAGCCCCTCAGTGAAGATGCTTTCTCCAGACCCACCCGCGGGCCGAGGACGCGCACCCCTGTCTTCGGAGGCCGCCACTCAGCCACACGCGCACCCACAGCCCAGGCTGGCTCGGTGGCACCTCTGAGCGCTCACTCCCCGCTGGCGCGGCGCCCAGGCAGTCCCCAGGATGGGGGCACGCGCGCCGGCCAGCTGGGCCCGTGGGCCGCGTTGGAACCCGCTCACCAAGCGGTCCCCGCAGTCTAGTAGCTGCTGGGCACCGGGCCTCCTCTGGGTGACAAGAAGCCGGGATTCTCACGCCCGCGCCTCCAGGAGAGGCCAGCCTGCCGGTGACTCACCCGCGTCACAGGCCCAGCAGCGGGAAGGGGACCCGGAACACCAAGGGGCAGGAGCCGGCTTGGGCTTCAGTGAGTGCCTGTGTCACGTGGGCTGTCCAGGAGGCCACACTTGACCCCAGAGGCCCCGTCTGACCCACGGCATGGCCACCATCACCTCTCAGTTCTGCCAGCCGCAGCCCGGCCCACACAGCCGCCCACCCAGCCAGGGCCACAGAGGGCCCATTATGAAGTCACAGTGGGAACGGAGCTGGGTCGGGAAGGGGCAGGCCGGGGACAAAGGGCTCATTGTCATGCAAATGGTGCAGAAGGAGGGGCAGCTCTGCCTTCAGCCCGGCCTCGGGAGGGTGTGGACATCACCTCTGGGCTCAGACCGGACCGAGCGGGCCCGTCAGCCTGGGAAGCGATCCACGGGCACAGGGTGCTAAGGGCCCGGCCACGCCGCTGCCACTGGTCCTCTGCCCGCCTCAGCACAAGGGGCAGCCGCACTCAGGGCGCAGTGGAGCCACAAAGCCACACGGCCGCACAGCCCCGCCCAGCGCCATCAGCAGCGTGCAGGAGGCACCGCGGGGCCTGGCAGCGTCCTGGGCACAGGGGTCGTGTCCAAGGCCTGGGTTCCAGGGTCGGACGGTGTCGAAACGGCCATCCTAAACAGAAGGCTCACGCCCTGTGGAAGCGACAGGGTCAGGGCTCTGTCCTCGCGGTGGGACCCGACCGCCCCTCAAGGGGGGCACAGGGAGCCCCTGCCGGGCACACAGTTTGCCCACATCTCATGCCAGCTGTTCAGAAGCTGCCAGACCAGGGCGCTTGGGACTCAAGCAGAGGACAGGAAGGGGACAGAGTGGTAATCGACAGTCTCGATCTGTGTCAGGCAAGGGGCCAAGGAACAGCAATGCTGCTCTCCCAGGAAGCAGCACTTGGGCAGAGGCCTGGGGTGGAACCAAGAGGAGCAACAGCAAGTGCAAGGGTCCTGAGGCAGGGTGTGGTGTCCCAAAGAAGAGCCACGAGAAGCCTGGATGCCCAACCCACACCAGCCAGGCTCTGCCCAGCAAGGCCCAGACCCAAGACGGGCGACACAAGCCTCCCGCTCTCCACACCACAAGGCAAACTCCCTCTGGACCTCACAAGGGAGCCCCAGGGTCTCCCACTGGCACAAGCACTGGCCCAGGGGTATTGGAGGGGGAGAGGTGTGAGCCCAGGGCACAGGTGTGCAACGAGGACAGGACCGTGGCTCGGCAAGCACGTGGAACTCCACGGCCTGCCGTCCAGCCCGTGACCAGAGCGCTCAGCCTGGTGCCCCCTCCGAAAGTGGGGCTGCACAGCACCCTCCGCCACCTGCCTGCCCTCCCTGGAGCACGCGGCTGGACCCTGCAGCCAGGCCTCTGCTTTTAGAGCATTTTATTTTGAGGTAACTGTAGCTATAAGCAGCTGTAAGAAACAACACAGTGACAGCCTGAGGCCCCGTGCCCCTCCACCCTCCCTCCGTAACTGCAGTTCAGTGTCAGCGTCAGGTCCAGGAAAGGGACACCCGCGGCCCCAGCCCTGCTCAGACCGCATGTGCGTGTGCACGAGTGTGCACACGCACACATATTTATTCGTAACACGTGCAGACCCTGGTGACCACATGCGCCCTGTGTCCAAGTCTGCTCCATGTCCTCAGCAGGCAGGGAAATCGAGGCACTACAGCCCTGGGGCAGGGTGGGGGCAGCACACAGCCCCACCCCACCCCCAGGGACACCAAGGCCTGGGCCACACTCAGCCATTCAGGAGCCGTTCCCAAGGACAGGCGGGCAGCGGGCAGCTGGCACAGTGGCCAGGACATCGGGGAACCCCCGCTGGCTCCTGCTGGCCTGAGAGAGGAGCCCTGGGCCAGCCACCAACCAGCATCCGGTGTCCTTTACGAGCCCAGGACAGCTGCCACCTCGGCAAGAGGGCGGCCCTGCCCCCAAGGCAGCACCCCACGAAGACAAGCCTGGGGCACGGGGAGCCCCCTGCGGGAAGAACACAGGGAGACAGACCAGGCCAGAACTCACGCAAACCCAACCTGGAGTCTTTCCCAGGACCCCCAGCCCGGGCTCCTCTTGGTTCCCAGGCCGAACCTGCAGGCCAAATGCTAATGGGCAGCGAGGGTCCGCCCAGGCCATGCTGCAGGCCTGACCACAACAGTTCCACTGCAGGCCGGGCAGTGTGCATCAGAACAAACCTGGCCCCCATGGGTGCTGATAGCGCCTACCGTGTACCTCCAGGCCTGGTTCATTAGCTCCCTCAGCCACACAACCTGTGGTGCGGGGAAAACACCCTGCCCATTTGCCAGATGGGAAAACTGAGGTTGAAACAGGAAGCTGCAGGCCTGGGCAAGAAAAGGGTACACAGCCAGTCAGTCTGCCTAAGCCCACCCCAAACCTACGACTCCTTTTCCATCCACTACGCCATGATGTGTGGCCCTCACCCCTGCCCCACTTCACAGACAGGGAAACTGAGGCAAGGGACAGAACCAGGGTTCAACAGAACCGCAGCACAGGGCCTGCCCTTCGGGAAGCCCTGCCCCACCCCTGCCAGGCCAGGCACTGTCCAGGTCCCCTTGCTGCCGCCAGCCCGCCCACCTGGCGCACCCAGGCCTCTGGACAAGTCCCTCCCTCATCCCCGGCTCGCAACTGAGGGCTCCTTGTGAGCGCGGGGAGCTCCGCCAACTTTCCAGTGCTGCTCCGGCTCCCCCGCCAAGGCCCCGGGCAAGCCTGGGCCAGTGGCACTGATTTTAAACCAGACGGAGGCACGGAGCCAAGAGCCACCTCGGTGGGGAGCCGGGCGCTGGGCCGGGTCGCAGGGCCGCACCTGGCCTCCCAGGCGTGACCTACCCGGGCCCGGCCCGGCCCGGCTGGGGACACCACATGACGAATCCCGTAGGGCAGCCCCGCGCCCCCACCCGCGCTCCTTCCGGACTTCAGCAACTTTGTCTGATAAGACGAGACGCCCCGGCCATTGTCCTGCGAGCGTGGGGCCTGCCGCACGGCCACCCTGCCCAGAGAGTGTCCGGCCGGCCGGCCCGCGTCCGCGGGGCCCCAACCTGGCCCGGGGCCACCACGTCCGGGACAGGATGGGGGCTCTGTGTAGGGAACTGCAGGGGCCCCCACATGGCGTCCCCCGCCCACACCCCACCGGCCGCGGCCCCCAGCCTGCGGCCACCTACCCCAGGCCGGGGACCGGGCCGCAGCGCCCCTGCCCGCCCCGAGCCCAGCAACTTCTCTTACCGAGCACACGCGCGGCCCTCGCGGGCCTCGGCCGCAGACAACTTGACGAACTGTGCACACAAAGGGAGGGGCGGCGCTCAGGACAGCTGGCACCCGCGGCGCGGCCTGATGGCCCGGGGGGCGCCCCCTGCGCCCCGCGCCCGGCCCATCCTGCCCGGCCGGCGGCGCCGCACAGCACGCACGGAGGCCGCTCCCTTCCCGCGAGACTTGGGCTCCCGGGCTCGGGAGGTGCTGCGGGAGCGGCGGCCAGGCCGGTCCCCCCCAGCTTCCGGCCCAGCGGCCCCCCGAAAGCGCGGCAGGCCGAGGCCCGCCGGGGACAACCTGCGGGGCTGCCAGAGCCCACCGCAGGCCGCCACCACCCAGACGCGGCCTCCGCGGTGCTCGCTCGCACTCGGGCCTATAAACACAGGGAATTACATAAGTCCACCCCTCTTGTGTGCAAGCCAAAAGTACAAGCTTTCTCTCCCGGCCCTGGCAGTAAGTAATAATTCCTCATCGCCATGGTAACCCTGGCGGGCTTCCAGCCGACTCGGGCTGAACACTGCGAGGCCTTTTTATAGCTCGGCTAGCAAACCTCTTCACTCTCCGCGCGGCAGGCGGACGCAGCGCCAGCCCCGGCGTCCCCTCCTTTAACCGTTTCCTCCCGGCCAGGCACCCGGGCGCCCCGGAGCGGCGGCTCGAGGGAAGCCGCGGCCGTCCTGTCGTCCTCCGGCCCGAGGGCTGGGGTGGCTGAGCCCCGAATTTCTGTCCCTTCGATCTCAGGGCAAGAAAACAAGGCCTGGGGGCTGAACCAGGTTCATCTCAGGAAGAGGCCTGCGGAAAAAAGGCAGAGCCAGACACACGCGTGAGAACACGCACAGGCGCACACGCACAGGCTGCGAAAGGCGGCTCGGCGGCCCGCCAGCACCCCAGACCGCGGCTCCACACGTGCGCCTCAGGGTCGGCCTGAGCACCCCCCGTGTCAGCTGCGCCCGTGCGGGGCGGCGCCTCGAGGGGCTGAGGGGCCCCGGGACTCCAGGACACGGGGACACCGGAACACCAGGACAAGACCCAGGGCCGCTGCCGGCTGCCAGGAAGCACAGGTTGGGGAATGGTCCCGGGTCCACGGGCCACGGGCCACGGGCCACGGGCCACGGGCCACACCAACTTTGCCGCCCTGAGGCCGGAACAGAGAAGTCCAGAGCACTCCCCCAACCAGGCCAAGGAAACTGAGGCACAGAAAAGCTCAAAGCCAGCGACCCAGGCCACCGTCCTCCCGCCGCAGCTCGACTGTGACAGCCAGGAGACTGAAAGCCAGAGGTGGCCAGCAGGCGGGGGGGCGTGGCCAGGACACGATGCCCGGCCTGGGTCCTGGCAGGTTGGTTCTGCACACAGACCTGCCCAGAGCCTCCCCAGAGGCTGGCCCTAGACCGGAGGAGCTCTTCCTGACCCGGCTGGAGCTGGCTCAGTCCAAGCAGGCTGGACGCCATGCAGTGTCACTCTGCGGCCACCTGCTGCCGCTTCGTAACGTTTGTTGAGTGACTTAATGACAACGATAAATCATCAAAACCCAGAAGCGGCCTTCCAGACAGAGCTCACAGTCAAAACAGAGCCTGGGTTCAGAACGAGGCAGCGTGTGGTGAACTGTTCAGCAGAAGCATTCCTCAGCCCCTGACCAACAAGTACCAACAGGCCGCTGCCAGGGCCTGCCTGCTGGCGACGGACACCAGCGCTGGGGAGGCCAGGATCTGCCGCATGGGGACCAGAGGCGTGAGGCTGGCACAGCAGGTTCAGAGAGGAGACTCAAAGCCAAGCTTGGTACACACACTAGAATCCCAGCCCTCCAGGAGGCTGAGGCAGGAAGATCACTTGCTGGAGCAATTTAGTGACTCAGTGACAGTCTATCCCAAAATAAACAAATGAAACACAATGAAATAACAACGGGCTGGGGGTACAGCTCAGTGCATAGGCCCTGGTTTCAACCCCTGGTACCACACACAAAACAAAACCCAGTAAAAAGACTTGGGCCAAGTGGCCCCGGGCCAGGCACCCGCCTCCAGGGCATCAGCCTGGGTCACTGTCCCTCAGGGCGCACCCACCTGCCGCCCTCGGGCCACACAAACCCTGACATGGGGCACGAGTGCTCGGAGAAGCAGCGAGCAGGCCCAGTTCAGCCCTGGTTCAGCCCTGGGTCCAGACGGACAGAACCGGCTCGCTCTCTCCCCAGAGCAGCTTCCAGCCGGGGACCCTAGGGCAGGGCATACGAAAGAAAAGCCACCTCTAGGACTGCTTTACAGACGCAAACCCACACAACGGAGTGTGATCCTGTCCTAGAAAGGAAAGCCTGGTATCACATACTTGGAATCCCAGCACTCTGGGAGGCTGAGGCAGGAGGACCGCAAGTTCTAGCTCTGCCTAGGCAACCCAGTAAGACCCTGTCTCAGAATAAAAAATAAAAGGGGACAGAGATGCTGGGGATGTGCAAAGGCCTGGGGGTGAATCCCCAGGAACCCCCTCCCACAAAGGAATGTGGCCTTGACCCAGGCTATGGGGAGACGAACACTAGAAACACGATACTGTGTACAAGAAGCCAGACACAGAAACACCCCGTGTGACCCTGGACACCACGCATGTAAAGAAATTCAGGGACACCAGGCCGACCAGCCGGAGGCTGCCAGGGCCGGCGAGGGGTGACGGGAGAGGACCTGGCACCAGACCGGGCCTCCCTCGTGGTGAAGAGGACAGGCTGAAGCAGCCAGAGGCTCCACAATGCGAAAACACTGAAAGCTAACGAGCCACTTGCTGACTTAGGACGGCTCATTTCACATCAGCAAGTCCCACCTCGGCAAGAGGGAAAGATGGATCAGCAGCACCTCCCAGAGCAGCCGCCCTCCCGCTGGGCTGACTCGGGGCAGGCGTCCGCGGGGCCCGGTGGTGCGTCCCGGGCCCTGGGAAGTCGGTGGTCTCGGGGACTCTGAAACCTTGCATGGGGTGAAAATGGAATTCACAGCAGCAGCAGCTCCGGGAGGCTGCGGCAAGCACGCACAGGAGGTGCTGGCTCCCAGCAGCCACCGTTCACCCGCCCTCGGCTCCACAGCTGGAAACCACCAGCACCGCCCGCCCCCCGCGTGCCCAGGGTCGGCCCTGCACAAGGCGCCTCCGCTCCGGCTCCTGGCGGCTCCTGTGTCACCCGGCTGGTGGCTGCGTGGAGCTGGCCTCATCCCCACACGAGCTCCCCCTGGGTGTCCTCTTCTCTCTGAAGGGCACTGGTCATCGGACTTGGGGCCCAGCGCTATCCAGGACGACATCCTGACCGTGGTGACACTGGCCGAGGCCCTCTGTCCGAACAAGGCCAAGGGCGCATCGCTTCGGGGGCCCACACCCCCTCAAGACTCTCAGCTCGGTGCCCAGGGCCGTCCCCAGCCACCTGCCTCTGCCCCAAGGCCCTGGGTGCTGCTAAGGCTGGGAAGGGGCCAGAGGCGACCCAGTCCGTCCGTCTGTCTGTCTGACCAGCAGCATCTTCATCACAAAGCCGCCTCCGTCCCAGCAGCTACGTGAGTGCCGCTGGTGGGGCCCACTCTAACCACGGGGCCCGCGGCACCCAAGCCAAGAAGCTGCAAGCAACTGTGGGGGCAGGGGGCTGAGGCTCTGGGGCCTGGGCCGGGGCGCAGCAGTCAAGACAGGACACGCCACAGCAGCCGGGCTCCTGCATCCCCTGCGTCCCACAAGGTGCTGCTGGCCCCACAACTCAGACGGGGAACTGAGGCGTGAAGCCACGAAGTTACCTGCCCAAGGGCACACAGCCAGGAAGTGTCACTAACCACTAGACGCCCCGGCCTCCCCGTCCCCGTGAGGACCCACGGCAGACAGTGCACACGCGGCCCTGACTTCTGGACTGGCATCTGCAGACACTGGATGGGACTTCTCAAGACTCGGGACCTTCTGCCCCACCCACAACCCCGGCAAGGTACTCTGAGATCAGAGTCACGGCCATGGACAGAGGCCAGCAAATGGGGACGGCAGGACAGTGGTGGCCAACAGGGAAATGCTTCCTGTCCCGCACAATGTTTTTATAAATATCAAGCCACTTCTTATAAAGTCCACATTCCCAGCCGCTCTCAGAAAACGACGACACCTGCCGGGCTGCTTGGCCCTCCTTCCAGACCCCAGGCGCCCCCCAACGAGGTCGGCATGCAGAGCGCTCCCTGAGCGTGTAAGCTAATCTCCAGCCCTTTACAGAAGGGGAAAGCGCGGCACTGAACTTGACCTTGGCCTCTGCCCTAGAGGTGCAAGGGGGCTCAGACAGGTGCAAGGGGGCCTCTGCCCTGAGGGCTGGGGCTCAGACAGCCTCAGACGCGGAGCCAGCAGGGCCTGCTCCAGCCTGCAGCACTCCTGGAACCCAGTGGCCACAGAGCCCTGGCACCTGCCGGCCCATGTAGCCCACAAGCGGGGCCCGCATCCACAGGGACACAAGGCCCGTGCCTCTCAGCCCGGAGCAGCCACTGTGTGCCTGAGGCTGGGGCAGCTCCGCAGAGATCTGGCTGCTGCGGCAGGGGTGTGCACCTACAGGCTTCAAGGGGGCTGCAGTGGCGCCTGCACAGCACCACACTCTGCAGGCTGCCTGGTTCAGTGCCTGCTGTGCAACCCTAGCTGACTCACCTAACCTCTCTGTGCCCTCGGTTTCCCTGCCTGCCCAATCAGAACAACACCATCATGATGCAACGCACTTAGCACATGGCCTGGCATGAAGACAGCACCAGGACGCGTCAGAGTCACTTCTGACTTTAACAGTGACAGTGGCAAGGACACGGTCAGGCACAGCACCACGGCCAGCGAAGGTCAGCGAAGTCGTCTTCATACTAAACACAACACCTGTGCACTTGCCCCACACTGATCCCTCCAAGGAAGGCGCGGCCCCACCGGCTTCACGTCCACTCTTCCAGGCAGGCCCCCGGATTGCTCCATCCCAAGCTGCCTGCCCAGCCAGAGCCCAGGAGTGCAGTCGGCCACTGCACAGCCAGGAAAGCAAGGTGACACGGGCAGCTGGAAAAGAAGAAGTTCCGAACCCCAGCAGGGATGCCAGCGTCAAAGCCCAGAGGCAGGCTGGGCGTGTTGGTGCACACCTGTCATCACAGCACTCGGGAGGCTGAGGCAGGAGGACCGCTGCAAGTTCAAGGCCAGCCTGCACTACATAGCAAGATCCTGTCTCAACACCCCCCGAATAAAAAGACCAGAGGCACAGGTGAAAGCACGTTGAAAACACACTATCCCTTCATAGCTGGGGTGAGTTCGCACAGGCCCATAGCACCCTACACCCCACACAGGATGACCTGGAGGCTGAGGCAGGAGGACACAGGCCATGTCACCTCTCTCTGTGCTCCGTGTCCTTGTGTAAGGGCAGTGACCACCCACACCTCACAGGTTCTGG